AGAATTCATTTAGTTTCTCCGCAATGGTCTTATTGTCCTTGAGTGCTCCTTTAGCACCTCGATCGTCCAGTGGCCCTACTGGCTGTTTAACAGGCTTCCTGCTTCTGATGTACTTAAAATGTTTTTTTGCTATTACTTTTGAGTCTTTGGCTAGCTGTATTTCAAATTCTTTTTTGGCCTTCCTAATTATATTTTTACACTTCATTTGCCAGAGTTTGTGCTCCTTTCTATTTTCCTCATTAGGATTTAACTTTCACTTTTTAAAGGATGCCTTTTTTCCTCTCCCTGCTTCTTTTACTTTGTTGTTTAGCCACGTTTGTTGTTTAGTTTTCGGTTTTCTTACTATATTTTTAAATTTGGGGTATACATTTAAGTTAAGCCTCTATTATGGCGTCTTTAAAAAGTTTTCATGCCGCTTGCAGGGATTTTACTTTCAGTGCTGTACCTTTTAATTTCTGTTTAATTAATTTAGTCATTTTTGTGTAGTTCCCCTTTCTGAAATTAAATGCTACAGGGTTGGGCCGCTGGGGTGTTTTCCCCACCACAGGGATGTTAAATTTAATTATATTATGGTCACTATTACCAAGTGGTCCAGCTATAATCACTATTTTTTCATTTGACTGTGTCTCATCAGATCCTACCTGTATTTTATCTTCCATCCTCTCCTCCTTACTAGGACATAGAGAATCTCCATTACTAGATCCTCCTCTAAGGGATGTCTCTGTCCGAACCATGTGCTCCTCCACACCTGTCGGCTCTCCCCCAGCCCTGAGTTTAAAAACTGCTCAATGACCTTTTTAATGTTAAGTGCCAGCAATCCAGTTCCATTCTGGTTTAGGTGGAGCCCATCCTTCCTGTATAGGCTCCTCCTTTCCCAAAATTTCCCCAGTTCCTAATAAATCTAAACCCCTCCTCCCTACACCATTGTTTCAACCACGCATTGAGACTCTGCAGTTCTGTCTAACTGGCCCTGCGTGTGGAACTGGGAGCATTTCAGAGAATGCTCCCATGGAGGTCCTGGACTTCAATCTCTTACCTAGCAACCTAAATTTGACCTCCAGGACCTCTCTTCTATCCTTTCCTATGTCATTGGTACCTCCATGTGCCACGGCTCCTTCCCAGCATCCATGCTGACTGTTACTTATCACCTGATTATCTTCTAGGTGTTTGCAAACTGACAGCATCTCATTCACTGTTGAAAAGTCTACTCTCGCCTCCGCTCAGCCCATGATGCCGGCACCTTGGCGCTTTCTCCCAGGTTGTCCCATAAGCTTGGCAGGAGCTTCCTCTAAACAGCTGCAACACCAACTCACTAGCCTCCTCCTTAAAACTCCCCTTTGCCATGAGGCTTGACAGCATTTTGGGCTGCTGGTGTGCTGAGACCACAGCCTATCAGGCCGACCAACTCTGTCTCATTGTTTCCTGGCGCTCCTCCTCTGTCTGGAGCCATCTGTTGTGTCTCATCTTGTATGTAGATTGGAAGCTCCCTGGAGCAGGGAGCATCTTTTTGTTCTGTGTTGGTACAGAGCCTAGCACAACGGGGTCCGGGTCATGCCTGGAGCTCCGAGGAGCTAGAGAAAGCCAGCATCTCGCTCTCCCTTTGGCTGCCATTATAAATCTCACCCCATGGTGGCGCCACGCTGCAGTTACTGCACTGGCCTGGGACTCCACAGATTGGGGTTCTCTTCCCTGCTCTGCTACAGACCTGGGCGAGTCCTTTCGATTTGCCAGCTGTAAAATGGGGATAATAGTAGTCTCCCTACCTCGCAGCATGCTGCGAGGGCAAATCCCAAATTCCTGGGAGGTTCTGATCCTGCAGTGAAGGGCTCAGAGAAGGCCCATGTGCTCAACGATGAGAAAACCTGCTTAGCAAGTGACCTGTTCCTGTCCACACCAGCTTAAGTTTCAGAATGGATTTATAGCATAGCCCCAGGCCTGGCAGGCTGCAGGAGTCCCATTCAGACGGGAGAGAGGCATAGGTCAGGGTAGCCAGGCTGCCTCTGAAAGAAACGGTCACAACCTCCTCTGGCCAGAGGCAGAGGAGACAGGCAGTCCAGGTGCTGCCAACACCTGGCCCCCAGGCAGTTGCCGAGAAAGTAACCAACCAGACCCCCCCCAACCTGCGAGCTCCAGTGACATGTGGTGGATGCCCCATCCAGTCAGAGGGGCAGATACGACCCTCCCCAACTCTGCCCGGGCCTTCCCCATCCCGCAAACAGCACCCCAGGTTTATGGGAGTTGAGCCTCAGCCAGCTCCCCTCTTCCATCCCCAGTCTGCGCCGCCCCTGGCAGGGTGTAAATGGCACCAGCGGAGCCAGAGGAGATGGAGGCGCGGAGCTGACTGTGGGGAACACACTAAAAGCACCACAGTTCTATACAGTCTCTTTAGTGACCCTCCCAACGGCCCATACACACCACGAACAAGAGGAAGGACAGACTGGAGCCCACGTAAGAGCCCTCAGGGCTGAAGACCAATCGACCAGCAGAACCCGCTAAGATCCATCAGAGAGGGAACAACAAAGCCACTCCAGATCAGCCTCGCCCCTCTCGCCAATACCCAAAAGTGAGACACCACCACCTGCTGAGCAATGGTATCAAAGCCTAATGACCAAACAGTATCAGCAGCGAGCCCTAATACTTAGGAGCCACCGTGCCTTGATACTACAGCGACTGGTTGTCTCGGACTCACAGGCGCTGTGCTCTCTCGGCTCCATACGGCCCCTGGGAGGAACCCCCTTCAGTGTGTCAGCCCTCCGGGAGGGCTGCACTGACCCTCCGAGGTTAGGACCTCTGGCCCCGCCACCTCCTGGGACTGAACCTCGGAGCCTTCAGCAGCCTCTCTCTCTTTGAGCCCCTGCAGTGAGACGGCTTGCACTGGACACCCAGGGCCTCCACACCCAGAGGGAGCAATGCCCCCTGATCTCAGCCACTGTTGTAAAACAGGGGGGTTTATCGTACATCTAAACCCAGCAGAGGCACGTCTCAGGGCCTGGGGCCTGGCCAGTCTCATCAACGTCCATCAGGGTCTGTCCCCGCCCCATGGGCTCAAGCTGCTCTTTGTCCCAGTCCAGCAGCCCCCTCCCTCCAGCTGACCATCCCATATCGCCTCCCCCAACAGCCCCTCATCTATCCTGTGTCATTGGTCCCAGGCAGACAGGCCCCCTGGCCTCCTCTCTCCCGTCCTTTGTTCCCCCTGGCTGGGCAGGTCACCGGGGCCCTCTCGCCTCAGCCCTTTGTCCTCCCGCTGGCCAGAACCGGCAGGCTCCCAAGCTGGGCTGGGCCTCCGGGTCACTGGTTACTAAGTTCCACAATGTCCAGGCCGGTGTCCGGGGAGCAGGCTGCTAGGTGAGATCACACCTAATCCTCTGCAACAACAATTCCCCCCACCCCTCGTTACACACACAGCACACAGGGAAACTAAGGCATACACAGTGTTCGTGCAACGCTAAGAAAATCCCCCACTTTGTCTAACTGGCGTTCTATAAATACCACAGACAGACTAGATAGCACCGATGGCTAAGGACATGAGGCAGAGGCACCGACTTCTTCTCTACTTGAGGGGGCTGCTCAACCCCCCCTCCGCCCAAGACCCCTTCCCGCTCCCTCCCAGCGCCTCCTGCACACCGCGGAACAGCTGATCGCGGCGGGTGGGAGGTGCTGGCGGGGGGGGGAGCAGTTGATCAACGTGGCCGCCCGTGGGCGAGAGGCCCTGGGGGGAATCGGGGAGGGGGAAGCTTGACTGCTAAGCACCCACTCATTACTCATTACCAGCAGGACAGTGGGGTGGGAGGAGGTATTGTTTCATATTCTCTGTGTGTATATAAAGTCTGCTGCAGTTTCCACGGTAAACATCTGATGAAGTGAGCTGTAGCTCACGAAAGCTCATGCTCAAATAAATTGGTTAGTCTCTAAGGTGCCACAAGTACTCCTTTTCTTTTCACCCACTCATTGTTTTCCATGGTGCTCCAGCCCTGGAGCACCCATGAAGTTGGCGCCTATGACAAGAGGTAATCATTATGTCCTAGGAGGCCATCAATAGTACAGGCCATCGGTTATACCGTATTCTCCCTTAAAGACGTACGAATCCTAATCTATCGGGTCCATCTGTCTTTACGGACATGCCAATGACAAAGCCCTGACTTCAAACTAGTGGGTAAGAGGCTCAGCCCACGAGAATGGTGAAATGAGAGATCAAAGGAGAAAAAGCAAGTGGTGGAAACTCTCCCATGCCCCACCCACATCTCAAGCGCCACCCACTCAACATCAAAATGATCAGCCACTCCCAGCAGGGGTGCAGATCTGTAATCCAATCAACCCTCTCTATCTGGTCTGCTTTGATCTGCGGGGAATTAGTTAATGTCTCACTCCCCATCGCTAGCCTATAGAAGGGACACCACCTTGAAATGAACTGGGGCGGCGGAGAATGTGGGAATTTGTCTCATATTTTTATGAACAATATGTGTGTCTCATTATACCCACTCACTTTGTACTGCTGCCCATTGAGCAAGAAGGCTTGGGGCATGAGACACAGGTGGATGTCAGATGTGCCTGTCTGGACTGGGACTGGTTACATTATCAAGGACTGACTGGAATTAACACATCTGAATGAGGGCCCTGCAGGGACAATGGAAACCTCAGTGAAGAACTGACTGACTCCAGGGCAGGACAGATGGACAAGGTGGGTTGGGACAGGGTAGTTGAGGGAGAAAGTTTGGTGGCCAGACTGAGCAGGAGAGAAGGAAAGATGGATTTCTGAACCGTTAGTAGACACAGGAAAGGGGGAGTGGGTTGGACAGACTGACACATGCCAATAAACAGGGGCTCAGGACAGACCAAACCCAGCAGGAGCATGGGAAAAGAGGGAGAGAGGGTGAGAGCTTGGGTTGAGAGTGCAGGCTCGGTGCTCGATTCAGGCCGCAGCCGGATATTTCTGACAGCGGGGGGCGAACTGCCCCCTCCCTGGGACCTCTAGGCTGATTGGTCTGTTCTGCGCTCCACAGGGCCAGCTCTTCACAGGACGCACCTGTTGCCACTCTGCATGAGAATGCCCAGCTAGACGAAAGGCCATGATCTCCACGGACCACGGCTCAAGCCCAACCATCTTGTGCTGCATCTCCAGAGACGCCCCCCCGCTCCTGGCTGGTTCTGCTGCTCTGCTGGCTGGCTGGCCTCTGCCCAGGATTGACGGTCACCATGGGGGAGTACTACGAAGTGCTGCGCATTCCCTGTGATGCCTCGGACGAGGACATCAAAAAGGCGTAAGTCCTTCCTTGGAGCATCCCCTTCCCCACACATCTCGAGGGCACGGTTCCTCCTGTCTCTGTCCGTGACTGCCAGCACTCTCCCAGCCCCAGGGCCTCCTCCTAACTGAGACAGAAGTGGGGGTCCTGGTTGAGATCCCTCCTCTGGTCAGTGGGGCTGTTGCTCCTCCTATTGCCGGTCAGTGCAACTGGAGGGTTGTGGCACAGTGGCTGGCACCTGCAGCGGGGTGTAAAGGGTTGTGTAGGGGCCCTGTTGAAGCCAGCATGGGCAGGTGGCACTGACTGTCTCTGGACCCGTGCAGGTACAGGAAGGCGGCGCTGAAATGGCACCCGGATAAGAACCCGGGGAAGAAGGAACACGCCGAGCAGAAGTTCAAAGAGATCGCGGAGGCCTACGAAGTGCTGTCGGACAGTAAGGGGACGGCATCTCCCCAACCCAGCCATCTGCCCTCGCTCAGTGCACTGCGGGTCGATGCTCCTACGCGTCTCGCTGCACTTGTGTTGTGCTCCTTGTGGCTGCTTGGGCAGCAGCTTCTGATGCACACGCTCCGTGTCTGTGTGTCTGTCCTGGGGCACCAGCTTTGCACAGCTCCCTGGAGACACCTCTTGGAGCGGGTGGGGTGCTACTCTCTCCGGCCCCATCATTCCAGGTTCTCCCTTCCCCTCCAGCACAGGCCCCAGGGAGGAACGTTACCCTGCAGCTGAGCCACAGGGCATCCTTTCGCCAGGCCTTGACCCCTGCCTGTGGTTAGGTGCGGGGTACCCAGGTCCGATGCTGTAGGCCCCTGGCACAGAAGCCAGAGCCCCATCTCATACTGGAATCCTGCAGCATGGCGCACCTGCACCCTGTGATGTGGAGTTACCCTGGCACCGTTCACCCAGTGTCTATGTTAGGGATCTCTGTAGCATCTAGCGCCACGGTATCCACACATCTCCCATAGCTGGGCAGGGACCCTGTGGCAGGTTATGTCTGTTCCTCCTAGGTTCTTTCTCTATAGCGAGGCCCCCTCTGGCTCAGTACTGGGGCGGGGGGTCAGCCTGGTGAAAGGGCCGCTGTGTCTGCAACGAGAAGATGGGCTGGGTGACCTCTCGCTCCTTCTCCCTTCCAGAGAGCAAGCGCGATCTCTACGACCGCTACAGCAAGAACGGGCTCACGGGGGCAGGTGAGTGACCCACCCTGACCCTGCCCTCAGCTGACCCTGCCCAACCCTCTGGCTTCAATGAGGCCAGAATTTGTTCCTGCGGTTGGAACTTTGCTCCCAATTCTGCTGGTGACGCACGAACCAGAATTGACCCCGGCTCATTCTCCGTGGGCTGGGCTGGCTCTGCAGGGCTAACAGGAGCCCAGGGCACAGAATGCTTGCTTCTGTCCGCCTGCGAATATCCTTAGGGAGCCCATCAGCCAAGGGAGGAGGGGCCATGTTCCAGATCAGCATCGCACTCAGGGCCTTTCCTCCTGGCCCCAGAGCTCTGCAGTGGGGAGAGACAGGATCCCAGCCTTGGCAGCCCAAAGCAGGGTGTCCTGTTTGCTTCCTGTTCTCGTTCCTTTTGAAGACCCTTGCGAGGGCTGGCAACCAGGGTGCCGCATTTGCCATTTCCTGTCTCTGCCTTTCCCTTTCTGCAGGGCCTGGGGGATCGAGGGCTGAAGATGGAGCCCGTAGATTTATGTTCCACTTTCGCAGTCCCCATGACATCTTCAGAGAGTTCTTTGCGGGACAAGAGCCTTTCTATGGTGAGTGAGAGCCTAAGATTCTGTGGGACCAGCTGGCCCAGGAATGAAGCTGGGGCCTGAGGGAGCAGAAGGGAGGTTCTGATGTGATCAAGCAGGTGCTTAGGTCCTCACAGCTGGGACAGAGCATGGCCTTGGTACTTGGCTAGAGCAGCTGAAGGGAGAAATGAAAGAAGGAATTATCCTGAACTCTCCCAGTGGTGAATGGCAGGGTTTTCTCCAGAAACCCAGTGGGGTCTCCACATGCTCAGCTCCGAACAGTTCCCACGGCAATCAGCCGGAGGGTCCATTAGGGGAGGCGCACATCGGTACAGCTGTGTACGATGGACCCTGCATGTTCTCTGAATCTAGGGCAATGGAACATCCGGAGCCCTGGCTGCCTAGCAGAGGGGCTGTCCTGCCTGGTTGTGGAGTCTCCACAATTCATTGTCATTGTCCACAATGCCCCAGACAGTCCCACAATCGTATCTTGGCCTGTCAGCAACGGGATCCTCTCGCATGGCCAGACATGCTTCTCTTTAGCCAAGGAGTGGAGATGGGGAGTAAGAATCACTGCCTATTCCTGTCCATGGGCTTTCTGCCATTCTCCTCTGCAGACCCCCTGGTAGTTGGCCTTGCTCCTTGTCGTCCTGTGTCACCCCCCACCCTCCCCAGCTCTTCTGACTCACAGGGACATTCTCTCTCAGAATCCAAGAAGAACATTTTCCTTTAAATTTCACACCTCCCATATATTTCATTCCCCACTGCCCCTCCCCTCACACTCTAGGCTAAGCGATCCCCGCTGAGCCATTCGGAGCCTGGGACTGGCTGAACTCACCTGACAATGTGTTCACCACCCTGTTTTTCAGGATCCTCTGGACCCTTCAACTCCAGCATCAACGCAGGAAAAGACTTCCGCTTCTTCTCTACCTCGACCAAGTTCATCAATGGCAAACGCATCACAACCAAAAGGTAAGGAGGGGCCACCAGCCGGTGGGAGTTTGGCTAAGCCAGCCTGTCTTACATCAGCACAGGGGGGCAGCCCATTGGGCCAGTAGGAACAACAGGCCATTGTTTAGGTGAGCAGCATGGCCCAGTGGATTCAGCGGGTCAGAAGAACCATGTTCGACTCCTGCTGCACGGGGCAGTTATCAGATTGGGCCATGTGTCTGGAACAGCACCCTAAGGGGTTCAGAAGAGAATAGCTGGGGATTTGGGGGATGATGTTGAGGGTCTGGAAGTGATATATATGGGGGTGAGGTGTTTAGGTTACTCCTAAACAGATGCTTCCCCTTCTTTGGCTCTTGTCTACTTCCCAGGACTGTGGAGAACGGGCAGGAGCAGGTGGAAATTGAAGAGGATGGGGAGCTGAAATCTGTCCACATTAATGGTGAGAAGCAGAGTCTTCCTGGGCCATGGATGGCACAAGAGACTGAGAGCAGGGAAGGAGCAAAGCTAGTTTCTTGGGGCAAGCACTGGCTCTCTCTGAGCTTACCGGGACCCAGCAGCCCTTGACCAAGTCCCCTTGGCTGCTCCCACCACTGAACAAATCCCCCAAATCCAGCTGCCACTAGCTAAGTCCCTCTGCACCTGTCTGCTCTTGAACAACACCCCTTGTACCATCCTCTACAGCTAGCCCGTGAGTGGAATAAGGGCCTTAAGGTCAACCAAGGTCTTTAGTGCTGAGTGAAGGCCCAGCTGCTGGGTGAGGCTGGGCCTCTGTTACTGTCCTAGGTGATGTCCCAGTGGGGGATGGGAGTTTAAAGCTGGGCGTCCAGTTACTGGCCCAAGGACTCTTTTCATGGGAGGGCGGTGGGAGGGGCTGAGCCCAGGCTCATGGCTGAGCCCAGGCTCATGGCTGCTGCTCTATAGCTGGAGAGGTGCCCAAGTTTTCTTCTACGAATGCTGATGAGGATAATTTCTTGCAGATATGGTTGTTGACGAGACAAGCAGCAGAGCAGCAGCAGGGAACGAATCTCATGCTGGGCCTACCAAGGTGCACTCTGGACATAATAAGATGCATGCCAGATACAAGTCAGCTCCTGGATCTGAGTTACCAGTGGGGAGGCAAGAGTCCCACATGGAAAAGAAAGAGTCCCATGCTAGGACCGAGTTGAATCTTAGCTCCGAGCCGCAGGCTGGGAGGAATTAGTTGTATGCTAGGAGAAGAGAGGCCCAGGCTGGGGGAAGGAGGCATGCCTGCAGGAGCAAGACACCATGAAGCAGCTGCAGAGTGGAAGGAATCAGCTTCCAGGTAGGAGCTGGCTCCTGGCTGGAATGAGCTAGCTGTGGAGAACAGGACTGCTACGGGTGGGATGCGACTGCTTCTGGATACAAGTCAGCACCCGTGTGGAACTAAGAATGGAGTCAGGTGTCCAGTGGAACAAGTCGGCTCCCTGATGTCACCAGTTGGCCCCAGGACGACACAAGCAGGTTCTCAGGCAGAAGCAATCTCCGGGTCTTGTCCCTTAATCCCAGCTACTTCCAGAATCTCTTTCCCCCAGGCTGGGGAGAACGCTAGGAACAGTGGGATCTGTTGTGAAGTTTTCCAGATGGCACTGGCCAGCAGGCGAGGAGCTGTTCAATACAGATGGGACCAGAGCTCTCAGTCTCTGTCTCTGTCTCCGTCATTCTCTGAAGAGTCAGCCAGTGAGCAGCTGCTTCGACAAGGACAGGAGCAGAGCTGTCTCACGGCCAAGGACTGGTCTGGCCTCTAGAGGTCCAGTATGGTGGGGGCTGTTTGCAGCTCAAGGATCTTCCATTGCTGCTATTCCCATCGCACACAGGAGGACATGGCTCCTGCTAGCTACTCACACACAAAGGTGATGGGGGGCCTATAAGAGCCCAGAGAGAGCGCTGGCTCCCCCCGTGCTGTCAGGAGGTTACAGCCCCCTGGCTGTTGCGGCTCGGTGCTCTTGGTTTGGCTCTCTTTGAGGGGTGCCCAGGGAAGGGAAAGGGGGGCGCATTCACAAGGCAGCGGGGGTTATTTTGGGAAAAGTACAATTGTGTGAGAACTAGTGTTAGGCAGCTCAGCCCTGAGGCCCTGTATAGAGTGTGGTAACACCCTCCCCTGCTCCCCACAGAATGGCTTTAAGTAGCCACAGGCAGGTGGCTTCTGGCCTGGCAGGCTTTGGGGCTAAAGAGGGCACACACCTTGTGCCAAAGGCAGCTATGACCCCTGAATGCCAAGTTGGCTGGTGTGAGCATTGGTGTGGGGACAATCTCTGAGTTACTCTGCTGGAAACAGTGGGAGAGATTCCAGAGGACTGGGAAAGGGCAAATCTAATGCCCATCTATAAAAAGGAAAATAAGGACAAACCAGGAAATTACAGACCAGTCAGCTTAACTTCTGAACCGGGAAAGTTAATGGAGCAAATCATTAAGCAAACAATTTGCAAACCTCTAGAAGATAATCAGGTGATAAGTAACAGTCAGCATGGATTTGTCAAAAACATATTGTGTCAAATCAACCTGATATCTTGCTTTGGCAGGGTAACCAGCTTTGTGGATGGGCAGAAATGGTAGACATGGTCTATCTTGACTTTAGTAAGGTTTTTGACACTGTCTCCCATGACCTTCTCATAAACAAACTAGGGAAATGCAACCTAGATAGAGCTACTATAAGGTGGGTGCAAAACTGGTTGGAAAACCGTTCCCACAGAGTAGTTATCAGTGGTTCACAGTCAAGCTTAAAGGGCATATCAAGTGAGGTCCCACAGGGATCAGTTCTGGGTCCAGTTCTGTTCCCTATCTTCATCAATTATGTAGATAATGGCATACAGAGTACACTGATAAAGTCTGCGGACAATACCAAGCTGGGGGGGTTTGCAAATGCTTTGGAGGATAGGATTAAAATTCAAAATGATCTGGACAAACTGGAGAAATGGTCTGAAATAAATAGGATGAAATTCAACAAGGACAAATGCAAAGTACTCCACTTAGGAAGGAACAATCAGTTGCATGCATACAAAATGGGAAGTGACTGCCTAGGAAGGAGCACTGCGGAAAGGAATCTGGGGGTGATAGTGGATCACAAGCTAAATATGAGTCAACAGTGCAATGCTGTTGTAAAAAAAGCAAATATCATTCTGGGCTGTTTTAGAAGGAGTGTTGTAAGCAAGACCCAAGAAGTAATTCTTCTGCTCTACTCTGTGCTGATTAGGCCTCAAGTGGAGTATTGTGTCCAGTTCTGGGCACCACATTTCAGGAAAGATGTGGACAAATTGGTGAAAGTCCAGAGAAGAGCAACAAAAATGATGAAAGGTCTAGAAAACATGACCTATGAGGGAAGATTGAAAACATTGAATTTGTTTAGTCTGGAGATGAGAAGACTGAGGGGAGACGACATGATAATAGTTTCAAGTACATAAAAGGTTGTTACAAGGAAGAGGGAGAAAAATTGTTCCTTAACCTCTGAGGACAGGATAAGCAGCAATGGGCTTAAATTGCAGTAAGGGAGGTTTAGGTTGGAAATTAGGAAAAAATTCCTGTCAGGCTGGTTAAGCACTGGAATACATTGCCTAGGGAGGTTGTGGGATCTCTATCACTGGAGGTTTTTAAGAGCAGGTTAGACAAACACCTGTCAGGGATGGTCTAGGGCAGTGCTACTCAAAGTGGTGATCCGTGGACCGGTGCCAGTCCGCGAGCCATCGGCTGCCGGTCTGCGCGCACATTGGGGAAAAAAATTGTCGGGCTCCACATCAGATAGCTTGAGAAGCACTGGTCTAGAAATTAGTCCTGCCTTGGGTGCAGAGGACTGGACTAGACGACCTCTCGAGGTCCCTTCCAGTCTTATGATTCTATGAAATTGGAACGACAGCTGTTAAAGATGTCTGTAACATAGTGGTATCTATGGACCCAGTAAAGGACAGGGTGCAAATTACAACTTAACTAGAGCAGGGACATTATAAAAGTATAGAGGCCAATTCTGCAAAATCAGTAGGATGTCAGATCAAACAGTTTAATCAGAACAGGCACCTGGTCCATCATAAAAACTACTTATGTATCTATATATAAATGCAAGAAATTGAAAAGCAAAAAATAAGTGAGTGGGAATGCTTGGCAATGGACGAGGACCCTGCTATAATAACAGGCATTACAGACACATGGGGGAATGACCCAGACCGGTGGGATATAGTAATACCTGGTTATAAACTGTACAGGAAGGAGAGTACATTCATGCATAAGGGATTCTATACAATTTAGCAAGAGATAAATTTGGAGTGGAAAAGACCAAGCAATTGAATCTATGTGGTTACAGATTCAAAGCTGTAGGGATATACTAGTGGATTTATACCACTGGTCTCCAGATCAAGGGAAAAAATTGAGTGCCCAATATTGAAAGAGATCAAAGATGCAGCAAAATCCAACAAAACGACAATGGGACACTTTAACTACCACATATAAACTGGTCAAACGGCACAACGGGACAGAGCTTAGAGAAATAATGTCTCAACATTTAAGTGATTTGCTTCTTGGAGCAGGTAGTTCTAGAGCACACAAGAGGAGAGGCTGTTCTTGACAGTTGTAACACACAGGAGCTAATTCAGAAGCAACAGGAAGGTGAGCCATTGCGTACTAGTGACCCTGGTATGAGGAGGTGCAAATCCTAGAGGGAGGTGAGTACCCCCCAGCGACACTGCTCTAGAAAGGGAGACAAATACATTCAGAAGGTTAATCAAAAAGGCCCTAAAGCTAAAAGTAAAGGAAGTAACATTCATAGAGGTGGCTTGAATGCTCCTTACAAAAATACTTCTGGAGTCTCAGCAGGCACGCAGAGCACTGAGCACAAAGTGAACCAGGAAGGCAAAGCATAAACCATTTTGGCTAAAAGACAACCAAGATGCTATTTGACCCAAACAGAAATCCTTCAATATGTGAAAATCTGACCCTAGTGAAGCCAACCACCAGAAGCATAAATTGCAGCAGGCAATAATAAGAGGAAAAGAAAGGCCAGAATGGAGTTTTAAGAGCAAAAATGGGGTTTTAAGAGCAAATGGCTAAAAGGTATAAAAACTGAACCGATTCTTTCAGTACATTAGAAGCAGGAATCCTGCAGATGAATCAGTATGTCCACGGGCGCACCAAGGGCTAAGGCACTAACGAAAAAGAGATAAGGACATTGATGCAAAGCAATCCTCTAGCTTCTCAGCAGTCTTCACCACCAAGGGTGGTGGGGAAACTCCTGCCCTGGGCCTGCTCTTTCTTGGTAACAAAGGCAAGGCGCTTTTAGAGACAGAAAAGAACATAAGAATATCAGAGCGGCCAGACTGGGTCAGATCAAAGGTCCATCTAGCCCAGTCTCCTGTCTTTCAACAGTGGCCAGTACCAGGTGCCCCAGAGGGAATGAACAGAACAGGGAATCATCAAGTGATCCATCCCCTGTTGCCCATTCCCAGCTTCTGGCAAACAGAGGGTAGGGATGATGATGGAAGAAGAGGGGGTGGAGCAAATTTCTAATTTAAAAAGCAACAAGTGACCAGGCCCAGATGGTCCTGCCAGTAGCCTGGGTTCTCTCCCACAGACACTAACTCTTACCCCAGGACCACTTCTTCCCTCCCAGCAACTGCATCTGCTATTCCCTAGGCCCTCGTCTGCTCCAGAACTCCTGGAGTGGGGTAGCACTGAGTCATCTCGCCTTAAAGGGCCAGTATACCCTCTTACACTAACTACAGACAGAAGACTGGAAGGTAGCAAATGTCGTATCCATATGTTAAAAGGCTCTGTGGTGATCCAGGAAATTATTGACCTGTAAAAGCCTTACATCTATATCTGCCAAATTAGTTGAACTGATAATTAATAATAGAATAAAATCTGGAAGATCATGATTTAATAGGGTCTAACCAGCATGGAACAGCAAGGGAGAGTTGTGTCTTCCATGGGGTGAGAGGCAAAGTACTGTTGTGGATCAAAATCTGGCTAGGAGACAGAAACCAAAGAGTAAGATTAAATGGTCAATTTTCATCATGGCAGAAGGTTAACAGCGGGGCTGCAAGGTTTCATCCCTTGTTGTTTCATATATTTATTAATGATCTGGAGAGGGGGTGAGTAGCGAGGTAGCAAAATTTGCAGATGACAAAGTTATTTAGGTTAGTCAAGATCAGAGAGGGCTGTGAGGAACTTCAGAGACCTGAACAAGTTAGGGGAATGGGACACACGATGGCAGATGACATTTAATGTTAACAAATGGAAAGTAATACACAGTGGAGGGAAAAAAATTAAACTACTCTACCTTGCAGGAGTCTACATTAACTGTATCAACCCAAGAAAGGAACTGGGACATAGTAATACAGAGTTCAGTGGAGACCTCGGCTCAGTGTGCAGATGTGGTCAAAAAAGGATGTTTGAATACAAAAAAAAAAAAAAGGGACAGAATAGTACAGAAAATATTATGAGGCCTTCATATAACTCAGTGGTGCAGCCTCCTCTGGACCCCGTGTCCCGCACTTCACACAGGATGCTGTAAAGCTAGAAGGAGTTCAGAGGAGAGCAGAGCCATGTCAGCACACAAGGACTCACCGGCAGTGTTTTAGCACCGTGACCTGATGATGAAAGATGCTCTAGAAACACCTCTAGTGGAATGAAAGATTCCAGCTCAGCACAGTGATTTCCACCTGCATGGCTATACAATCTATTCATTCCTAGAGCAGTCAGTGCCCTGGGTGGCCCTAAGGCATGTGTGCAGTGCAGACGGTTATGCACAGCTCAGGCAAGGTACCACTACTAACAAACAAACACAGACAGGGAAAGAGTTAATGGTGAGAGCAGCACCCTGGGTAACAGGAAGGACTGGCAAATAAGGGGCTAAACCATCTTTTCCACTTGTTGCCTGTGGTTGATTTTTGTAACCAACCGAAGACCTCAAATGCCAAGTGCAAAGTCCTGACATCACAATCAGCCTCCCCTGGTCTCCAGGCAGCGCCGGCCAGGCAGGGGCTGGGCTCTGCAGGGGGACATGAAACCAGAGAGAGGTGGAGCGTGACCATGATGCAGCCAGCACAGCCTCTTCCGACACAGGGAGGTATGGCTGAGCTGTATTTGTGGGACTGAGCTCCTGGGGAGCTCAACGAAGAGCCCCGTGGGATGGAGAAGGGCGGACGCTGAGCTAGGCAGTGCTCAGACAGTGGCTGACGCAATTGGTGCAGAGCAGAGAGTGGAAAGGGGATGTAGGAAAAAGCATGAGGGTCAGACAAGGGCTGGTCTCCTGGGCATGGGCCTAATTCCCACGGCCTAGGAGCCTGGCCCCATGCTCTGCCCTGGGAAGGGCCATAAACCTCAGCCAACGGTGAGCTCAACACCCTCCTGACCCCAGCAGGTCTCCCTGCCAGGACAGGGATGGGTCTGGCTTGTGGGCTAAAGCTCCCCGGCACGTCTGAGAACCGCAGCGAGGGAGGCTGCTCAGATCTCACCCAGAGAGGTGACATCTGTCCTGCCCTACCCAGCCCTGCTGCCAGGGAAGTGGCCAGTCCAGCCCAGGCCCAGTCAGGCTTGTCTGTGGAGTAGAGAAATTCTGAATCGGTTGAAGTGGAAGCAGCTGGGGTTCAGCTGACAGCAGGAACGGCTCGGTGGCTCAAGCCTTCGTGGGCATCATGGTGGGGAAGGAAGGAAGCCTTCTCCATGGCCACCAGAGCCAGGGCAGAAACTTGTCTCTGAGCTGCCATCTGCCAGACTCAGTGGAAGATGACCCTTGTCAGTTGCCATCTGCCATGGCTCATGGTATAACAAGGTGGCATGGGAGGACTGGGAGGAAGGGTTGTTTTGTGGGCAGTGCACTGGCCTGGGAGACCCTGCATACATGCATGACCAATTATACGGAGAATGGCTTTATCACGTAGTGTGAGCAAAACAGACTAGGAAGCTAGGGTCCAACTGCTAGTCCCCAAAAGTGCATAGGCAGGAGATACTCCACTTAGAATCAAAGAATCATAGAATATCAGGGTTGGAAGGGACCCCAGAAGGTCATCTAGTCCAACCCCCTGCTCGAAGCAGGACCAATCCCCCACTAAATCATCCCAGCCAGGGCTTTGACAAGCCTGACCTTGAAAACCTCTAAGGAAGGAGATTCCACCACCTCCCTAGGTAACACATTCCAGTGCGTCAGCATCCTCCTAGTGAAAAAGTTTTTTCCTAATATCCAACCTAAACCTCCCCCACTGCAACTTGAGACCATTATTCCTTGTTCTGTCATCTGCTACCACTGAGAACAGTCTAGATCCATCCTCTTTGGAGCCCCCTTTCAGGTAGTTGAAAGCAGCTGTCAAATCCCCCCTCATTCTTCTCTTCTGCAGACTAAACAATCCCAGTTCCCTCAGCCTCTCCTCATAAGTCATGTGCTCCTGCTCCCTAATCATTTTTGTTGCCCTCTGCTGGACTCTTTCCAATTTTTCCACATCCTTCTTGTAGTGTGGGGCCCAAAACTGGACAA